TAGTAAAGTCAGCAAGTACATACACAGCAGTAGATGAGGTAGAAAAGTAGAACAGCAATAAAAAATGAGATAACAACATGATAATGAGAAAACAATTAAATGACTGTTATATGATTAAAGTTGTTATTATCCTTATCATTATTTTGGTTATTTAAACTAAGCAATATCATCTAAACTTCAAGTAGCTCAACAGTATTAACATAGTTACATTATCATTTGTTGTCATTAGTTATCATATATCATTATTATTCATCAACGCTGCTATTATTTTTATATTTAACATCTATTATCTAGCTCCTTATTTTGTCATTATCATTAATCATTATTCACAGTTGATGATCATTATTATTATCATATAGATTATTAATGTAATTCGGTATTAGGTTTTTGATAAAACAAAAAAAAATATGATATATAGTAATTATATACACATCAATAGTTTTATATAATATACTATATTTGTAGTATATATATTTATTCTACATCAACATTTCACACATATATATATATATATATACTTCTAACTAATAAATAGTGATGATGGGGTAAATGTAAGATGCCTGATAATAAATAAACAAACAATTACTGATGATGATGATAAAAAGTAATTATAGAAATACTGGATTGTTAGTAAACCACATTTGAAAGAAACCTTTTCTTTGCTATTGCCATCTTTTTATGAGCGCCTTTTATTTTTCTACATTGACTCACAAGGTCAGCAAACATTATATTAAAGATAATATTTTGTTACTATATATATCATAAATAAAACCATTTACATACAAAAAATATTATTTATATTTACGTTTATTAATCAAACACATTATATATTAATATATTAACTATATTAGTTTATACAAAATATTAAGATTATATCATTTACAATTTATATTTAATAAAATTTAAATATTTCCTACTCAGATTATTTAATTTTTAATAATATACAAGAATTTGTAAAAGAAGCATAAGAAGAAGCATTCATGCATATATATTAATTATATATATATAAATTATATATATATATATATATATATATATATATATATATATATAATATATATATATATTATTATATATATAATATATTATATATATATAATTATAATGAATAGTAAATCCTATGTATTAATAAATATATATATATAATACTATTAAAATATATATATATAATATATTAATATATATAATATATATATATATATACAATATATATTATATATAAATTTATATATATATAATATATTATAAATTATAATTAATATATAAATTATATATAATTATACATTATATTATTATATATTCTACTATATATATATATATATATATATAATTATATATTATAATTATATATATATATATTATATATATAAATATATAATTAATATATATATATATATAATATACATATAATTATATTATTATATATATATATATATAGTTAAATATTAAGCATACATACACACACATAACACACACACACACACATATAGTAATATATATTAATATATATTATATATATATATTAATATATATTATATTATATATTTATATTATAATATATATATTATAATATTATATTATATATATTATATTATATATATATAATATAATAACATTATCTATATCAATTAATAGTAACGATATATAAATATTAATATTATTATATATATTATTTAATTAATTAGTATATCATATTATTATGTTTGTTTATGGTGTAGTAGGTGTATGATGTATGTTGGTAGGTGTATGTGTGTGTGTTAGTGTGTGTAATTTAATATCTATTCACTTAATATATATATAATATATATATATATATATATATAATAATACTATTAAATTATATATAGTTATTATATATATTAATATAATTAATATATATATATTAGTGTGTTGTGTGTGTGATTTTAGTGTGTGTGTGATGTGTGTGTGTGGTAAGTTAAATAAAACACATTATAATATTCAATATCATCAACTGATAATATACATACTAAAGCTTCTTCTTATTCTTCTATATCTATTCTCTATAACTATATACATTTTATAATTTAAAACTATAACATACTATATATATATATATATATATATATAGTGTATAATATAGTATATAAATATAACTAGTATGTGTGTGTGTGTGTAGTGTATACATTATATATAATATAATATACTATATATATATATATATATATATATATATATATATATATAATAATATAATATATATAATATAATATATGTGTGTGTGTGTGTGTGGTGTGTGTGTGTGTGTGTGTGTGTGTGGTGTGTGTGTTACGGTAAAAACATATATATATATATATATATATAATATATATACTAATATATATAATATATATAATAATTACATAAATAATGAATATAAACCACTCTATCCTGTTTTTACGGTATTAAAACCCAGGTGAACATTCTCCATCGCAACCCGGCCCGACCTCGCCCTCCTTCCCCCCTTCAAAAGGAGCGTCCCGGCGTTTCCTTGTGTCTCCCGTGATGAGCGAGGCAGGCGCCAGTCTCACCAAGCGTCTGTCTCGACGACTAAATACGCTGTATCGGGGACGCGACAACAACGGCCTCCGCTGGCATCGGTCGCCGTTCCTCTCTCTCTTTCATCCTCCTTCGTCCCCTTTGCTTCTTCGGACCGGAAGGTGAAAGCCAGGACGATTTTGTGACTGTTGTGTCATTTTCGATAAAATCTAGTTTTTGTGGTGTGAGTATATACATATATTTAATATATGTATATATACACACTCACAAACATAAACACATATGTATATGTATGTATATGTATATATATGAATTGTATGATATATATGAATTATTTATATGTGATATACATATATATACATCATATATACTATATATATATATATATATAATATATAGTAAGATATATATATATTATTATATATATATATATATATAATAACATATATATATATATATATATATATATATATATATATAATATTATATAATTATATATATATACTATATATATTAATATATATATATATATATATATAATATATATATATTATATATATA